TATTGACAGAGAGAGACACAGCGAGAGAGGGAACACAAGCAGGGGGAGTGGGAGAGGGAGAAGCAGGCTTCCCGCGGAATAGGGAGCCCGATGCGGGGCTCGATCCCAGGACCCTGGGACCGTGACCTGAGCCAAAGCCAGATACTTAACGACTGAGCCACCCAGGCACCCCTGATCTATATATGTTTGATTGCAAAGTTTAATCTGTTTATATTTAGTGTTGTTGTACTGCTAAGGAAGGAAGTACTTTTGTACCATTTTGTTCTTTGTTTTCCATATATCTTACAGTTCTTTTGTATGTTATTTCCTTCCTTACTGACTTTCATTTATTCAGTTGATTTTTTCGTACTGACATGTTTTCATTCCCTTTGGGGTATATGTGTTCACTCTGTGTTTTAGGTGTTTAGAGCACAAGTAGGGGGAGAAGCAGACTCTCCACTGAGCAGGGAGCCCAACATGGGGCTCGATCCCGGGACTGTGGGATCATGACTTGAGCCGAAAGCAAATGCTCAACGACTAAGCCACCCAGGCACCCCTAGGAGTTCGTTTGTATTTCTCAAATCAGTAATTTGCCTTAGGAGGGTTGTAACCTGTAAGCCCTTTAAGCCATTTTCATGAACTGTGCCTGTTCCTTTCCATGGAATTCCCGTAGTCTGAGTTCCAAACAACTTTTGTTTTTCTGACTTCCAAAATAGTGACACAGACCAGTCTGTCAAGCAGCTCAGAATAATGTTGCAGATTTAGTCCTCTTTGCTCTTACATGAATTGAGGACCCTAAAATGTGCCTCTCTTGGAGGAGTAGGCATGGATAAGTAAAAACACAATGAAATTGCCTAACTCTTTTGAATGTGATTGTTTTTGATTCAGTGTTTGCTTGGTTGCTATAAATTGTGGGCTGATTTCCAGAAATCCTGGAAATAAAGTTATTTCATAACAATAGGACTTTGGAGCTGTCTAATCTTACAACTCCTCAATTTAACCTTTTAAACCAAATGTAAAGGTAAGAATATAGTATACTGAATTTATTTTTTTTTTTTAAAGATTTTATATTTGAGAGCGAGCACAAGCAAGGGAAGCGGCAGAGGGAGAGGGAGAAGCAGATTCCCTGCTGAGCAGGGAGTCCGATGCGGGACTCTATCCCAGGAGCCCAATGGGTGACTCAGCCCCAGGACCCTGGGATTATGACCTGAGCTGAAGGCAGCTGCTTAACTGACTGAGCCAGCCAGGCACCCTATTATGCTGAATTTATTCAGAAATTAAAAAATTGATTTACTGGAGATTTTAAAATTTATTTTAGGTTCCCATATCAAATTTAGCATTAGCATATACAGTAGTCTTGTAACAGTTGTTACAAGAGTAGTCTTGTAGTCTTGTAACAGTTTTCTATTATTCAGCATTTCCCATGTGTCTTGAATTTCTTTGTTTGTTTGTTTTCTTGTTCTGTTTTAAGTAGGCTGTACTCCCATCATGTAGCCCAACACGGGGCTTGAAATCAGAACCCCAAGATCAAGACCTGAGCTGAAATCAAGAGTCAGACACTGAACTACCCTGAATAATTTTTTTTTGTCTATTTTTAAATGTAGAACTCTGCCTCTAATTGGGAGTAGAAATGCCTCCTTCCTATTTTGGGTTTTGTTTTCTGCTAAAACTCGGCTTTTTAGAAGATTTAATGAGCTTTTTTTTTTTTAAGATTTTGTATCTTTGAGAGAGCATGAGCAGGAGGGAGGGGTAGAGGGAGAAGCAGACTCCCCTCTGAGCAGGTAGACTGGTATGGGACTCCATCCAAGGACCCTGGGATCATGACCTGATCCGAAGGCAGCTGCTTAACCGACTGAGCCACCCAGGTACCCCTTTATGATCTTTCTTGTGCATTTGTATTATTACAATTGATTTTTATATGTACATAACTTTTATGTTTATTTTACCTTCTTACATATAAAAATGTTTTTAGCTAGCTATACAACCTTTGCTTAATTCCTGTTCAGATATATAGGACATGAATAAATAACAGCTGTGCCCCTAGGCACTACTCTGTAATTGCAGCCTGTGCTGCT